TCACACTCACGTTGCTGCTGAGTGGAGGAGAACCTCCATCCTGAGCTCTGACAACTAGCTGAAATAGTTTAATTTGCTCATAATCAAAGGAACGAATTGCACAAACAACACCAGTTTCTGAATTCAAAGACACATAAGAAGAAACTGGAGCTCCATTGACCTGTGTGTCTTCTAAAAGATATGATATTCTTGCATTTTGATTTGAATCAGAATCCCGAGCACTTATACGAAATATGGAAAATCCAGGGGAATTATTCTCCATGATGAAGGCAGAATAGGTGTTTTCATCAAATACTGGAGCATTGTCATTGACATCAGAGATTTTAAGATGCAATTCCCTTGTACTAGAAAGAGGGGGGGACCCAAAATCTGTGGCTGTTATTGTGATGTTATATTCTGATTTAGATTCTCTGTCAAAATTCTGATCTGAGATTAAATTGTAGTAGTTTGAAAGAGATGACTCAATTTTAAAAGGAAATCTACCATCTATATAACATCTTATTTCCCCATTTCTTTCAAAATCTGCATCCTTAACATTGAAAACAGCTATAGTCGTACCCGGTGGGGCATCTTCAGGCACTGGGCTTGAGAATGACATGACATTTATAACTGGTGCATTGTCATTAACGTCAATAACCTCTACTGTAACTTTACTGGTTCCAATTAACCCCCCATGGTCCTTTGCCTCAACTCTAACTTCATATTTTCTCTCTTTTTCAAAATCTATTAGTCCAGACACTAAAATTGTTCCAGTGATTTCATCAATAGTAAATATATCTACTGCACTTCCTTTCATTTTAGACAGACTGTAAGTTATCATTCCATTTGAACCACTGTCTGCATCCATGGCATTTACAGTTATAACAGCAGTACCTTTTGGGACGTTTTCCACCACCGAAGCTTTGTACACAGACTGGTTAAAAATCGGCACATTGTCGTTGGCATCAAGAACAATTACATTTATATTTACGGACCCAGACCTCTGTGGAGTCCCTCCATCTACTGCTATCAATTTAAAAGACAAATGGTGTCGTTCTTCTCTGTCCAAAGGTTTCTGGAGAACCATTTCGACATGTTTGCTTCCATCTGGACTTGTATTTTCCTTCAATATAAAATTGTCGTTTGGTGAAAGACTGTACCCTTTTAGCGCGTTCTGACCAACATCCAAATCCTCAGCGCTCTGCAGCGGAAATGTAACTCCAACTGCAGCTAATTCGCTTATTTCAAAACTGATAGCTTTATCATTGTTTGGGAAAATAGGAGAGTGGTCATTTATATCCGTAACTTCAACAGTAATTCTGTGAAGTTCAATCGGGTTCTCTAAAATCACCTCAAAGCTGAAGCTGCACGGCGTTACGTCTCCACAAAGCTGCTCTCGGTCTATTCTTTCATTCACTACTAAAATCCCTTTGTCTGCCATCAGCTCTGTGTAGTGAACGTCCTCGGCGGTAACGATACGGGCTCGCCCGGAGCGGAGTCTTCTCAGATCCAAGCCCAAATCCTGCGCTACATTGCCAATGACAGAACCTATCTTCATCTCCTCTGGAATCGAGTAGCGAATCTGACTGTCAACCAAGAAAACCATATGAAGGAGAAGCGCAAAGAGCGGGATTTGAAGCCAATGTCCACACAATATTCGCCATCTTAAGGATACGTTGACGAGTTGTCTGATGGTCGCCATTAGAGAAAATAAAATATATGAAAATGAATGGATCTACTTAGCTGGCAGGTAAAACAAATCGTGTTATATCCTTCCCTTGGTTAGATTTCACAAAAAAGTCCACAACGTTTAAAAAAATCAAATCTATGAGCATCAGCCTGCAATCTCGGTATAACACACAGAAAGCATTCTGCAAAATATGCCGCACCCGGTCTGGGGCTCAGTTGATGACGAAGAAGAAAGTATTTTGCTGTCCAACAGCGTCCCTTACAGTCTCAAATGTGAAAAGGATGTAAGGATAATTTGGCATCACAGACATAACGAAGCTAAATGAAAACGTAAATACAAGATGGAAATAAACCAGACTAAATTTCGCAATTTAAGATGTTGTGAAAACATTTTTCCATATAAAAAGTCAAGCAAAATATATATCAAAATGCTACCTTTTTCCCACTTTAATATTTTGACCAGACCAAAACAAGTATGTATGAATGGATATATATGACAAGAAATAATGTCATTCCTGAGAACAGATGTGTATCAAGACAGAAAGCAGGATTTGAGAGCCTCTGAAATGCTTTTAAATGGTCAAAATGTCAAATAAAAAATATAGATTATTTTAAAAACAAAATATTCAGTTGCATTATATAGGGATTAGTTGAGTTTGTATTAGTAATCACTGTTACTATGAAAAAATAACGGGTTTGGGCACATGTTAGTGCAAGTGTATCAAAGGTTTGATATTACACATAGAACTTGTGCAACTGAGGAGCTGTCTGTATAGTGGTGCTGAAAATGAGTCACTGCAGCTGCTATTAGCTGTGTATGTCGTTAGATAACAAATTGTGTGCGTTTTTTTCTTCATTCGTTTTTAAAATTATGTTTCAGAAACAAAGTTCAAAGCACCTCACCTCCAGAGGAGAGTCTGGTTCATCCAGGATGCTCTTCTCACTCTGCAAACGCTGCATGGTTCCTGTAGAACTGGGGTCCATTATCAGCACGTTCT